TCACATTGCATCTGTTCCTCGTATTGGTGATAATTGCTATTGCATATGCTGACATCTTACATCAGGCATGCATCACTGCACCTCCATATTCTTCTTATATAGAGCCTTGGGAAGGCTAGGAGGAGATTGATTTTCATGCTCATAGGGAGAGATTAGATAGAATACTGGAGAGGATGGGCGCGTGAAATTGACTTATTTCGGCTCTACATCAACTACACCTACGTTGGTGCATTGGTTGACAGTCGGGCCACTTTCCTTGCGCAACATCTTTAAGGTGCATCTTGGGCTGAGGGTAGAGGATTTGTAGTACCACTGGGGGACCAACTTGGGGGACCCAAGTTGGCAACAAAGCAATTGTCAGAGACACAAGTTGCCAAACATATTCTTACGACCTTTGACAGAGGCAAACATGCTGCCGCACACTCACTAAACTCTATATCATCAATGAGTGCCCAGTTGATGATGTTGGGTTGGGCTGGCTATGTGTGAACAAACATACCACATTGAAGGAGTCGATGTTCATTTTAGAACATTCCGAGGGTTAGGTGCATGGCATTCTAATGGACGAAACCTCGAGGCCCATATGCCTCTTAACTGCTTGAGCGTCACAAAGTTTTGTACGAGGGGATGTTTACATTTACCCGTAGTCAAACCCCTTGGTGATACTTCTCCTATCTTGGATTCTGAATTTGATAAAGCAATTGTGGCTGTTTGAAGTCTCTTTTTTATTCATCGCTGGATGTGTTTGAGGAACCGATTAGCGCGTGCCAAAGGAGGCCATCAAGCACAATATTAAGATCATCTTGGATAGTCCTCCCACCAAAGTTTTTGTTTACCGTATGCAGTCGGATGACCTGAAGGAACTGCAGAAACAGATTAGGCAATTTTTAGCTAAGGGGTGGATCACACTTAGGCAGTGTGAATACAAAGCACGAGACCCTTTTGCACCCAAACAGAATGGTGAACTTTGCATGTTCATTAACTTTCAGAAAAAAAACGAATCACAAGAAAGAATGCCTATCCTTTTCCTTGAATTGACAACCTTCTTGACGTGGCCATGGGTTCTAAAGTGTTCACCAAGATCGACCTCAAATCTGCTTACCATCAAATTAGAGTTGTTCCTGCAGATCAGCACTGTGACAGTGTTGTGTTGAAAGCGGGTAATAGTCCTCAAGAAAATATTGGACAAGTAGAAGAAATGAATGAATCTATAACTCCGCTTCCATCGCCTATTGTTCCCGATCGGAACAGTTCGGACAAACACTTACCAGTTTGTATAAGAACTCCATATATTACACACCATTCGTGTGACACCAAAGAGCTGCAGTACACAGCCCCATTTACTTACTGCTGTCTGATGGGCACCCTGGTCTAAAACCATTTCATGCCTGGCTATGGGGCATGGTGATTTCTATATGTACATTCTTACCACCAACGATAATGAGAAAAACTACGATTTGATTCAGCTAATTTATGAAGATCATCTCTTTTTTTTTCTAGCAAATCCTTGTTTTTTCGAAGCATCCTGTATTTCAGCGGATAAAGATTGATCTAAACTTGTGTTTTTTTTTGTCAAACGTCGTCTCCACAAGGCGCCTTCTTGCCTACTCGTGCAATTACACCAATGCTCAAACAACGAAATGTCATGATCGAGCATGCAAACACAAGCGCTTCAGATCAGCAAGGAAGGAGATTATGTCTAGGTCAAAATATCTGAGTTTTTTTTTTTCTTTCTTACCACTCTACTTGAACCCTGGGCCATTCTCAAGGTCCGAGGAGATGATGCGTTCATACCTACCTTCATAAATCGATGTGCCTCCGCATCTTAGTATGTATCTGGTGTTTCATGCTTCCGCACCTTGCATAACTTTTGACAATTTTCCCATTAGACGATTCATAATTGCTTAACCACTCGATGGTGGCTTCGAAGTGGATCATATCGCTGATCTCAAGGGCAAGGGGCACAACCGCAAGATCCAGGGCATGTTCAATATTGTCCCCCCAGTGAGTTGGATTTCTCAATCTCCCTCCGTTGCAGCATACCGCACCCCGTGTTGTCAATGCCTATGAACACTCTTCTACACTTGAGCATTCACTCGTGTTGTCTGTGTGTTGTGCCTATGATGCATTCTGTCTGGACTTAGGTTCACTTCAGCTCAAAGGGACCTGGCATACAAGGTGGTGGGAGTGCAATGACCAGAGCAGTTGCAGTTTGAGATTTCTGCATGTTTTTGACAAAATGCTGTCTGTTGGCCCCATTTGCTGTCTGTTTTGCTGCATTGTTTTTATGTCTGAACTCTCTCTGATGCTTGATGGGTGTGAGCCTTTGCCTGTGTGCTAAGTCTATTCTCGTGCTGTGTTCTGTTTATGGGGAGAGGTAGAATGAAAGGGGTATGACAGAAATTCGGATAATGGATGGACCTAGGGGACATATTCTAGAAAGGCCAAGGACAAAGGTAGACTTGTTAAGGTTCGGGTAGGGATCCAGTAACCCACGCAGGCCCAGAGGTCCAGTAGACTAGCGGGAGCCATGATGGTACGGGCCTGTATGTACTCAGAATTACGTCTAGGTATGGGTCCACCAGGTAGGATTCCAGTCTGCGATGATGTTCCCACCAGATGGAGGGAACCGGGGGGCCCGGTAGTGCACCCAACATGTCCAGGAGTAGGCCGAGCTAGGAAGCAAGAGGCCGTAGGCAAGAGTGTATCATTTGGTGCAATAAGCAGTGCAGGCATTCACCCAGCAGTCAGGCTGCTGTTTCACCCCCGGGAAGAAGGCGGAGCACTTGGTGGAAAGAGCAGCTCGGGGTGAGGAAGAGGACCTCCATGGCTATGCGTGGATGAGTAGTTGTAAAAATGAGCAGGCCTGCGCTAGGCTATGGGAGCAGATGGGAGGGGAGAGTTCATGTAGAGGTGGACGACAAGGAGGGAACAAACAGACAATCTGTCTTTGGCCAGGGCGAAGCTTCATCTCCACTTCGGTGACGGGAACAGCATCTAAAAGGCCCCTGTTGGGGTACTGGCTGGTTATGGACGTCATCTGGGAGTGTCGCCATGGCGATAGGAGACGGGCGAGACATGGTAGCTCGATGTCCTTCAACATCCGTGCTCGGCAGGGATGCATTTTGACAGCTAGTTATGCAACCAGGACAGAGGAGAGAGGAGAGAGGAGAGAGAGAGAGAGTGGCCTGAGGGAATGCTGGCAGTAAGGGAATCATTCAGCCATTGATTCTTGTGCATTCCTGCATTATTGTATTGAATCGTCAATAAGAGGAGGCGGTGATCATGTGAGGGTTGAAGCTGATGTCAAGAGGAGGAGGGAGATGACATTGGTCCAATCGCAACTTCTTCTTCTTCTTCTTCTTCTTCTTCTTCTTCTTCTTTCATCCTCCTCCTCTCCTCACCTTAATCCACTTTCTCTTGAGTTGTGATGCATCGGCGATATCACAAAGTTGAACTTTGCACTATAAATTGAGCAGTATCATAGCAGTAGAAGCAACTTGAAGCAACTTCTCAAAGGTTGGTGCAGGTACTACCCATCCTGCCTGCAGCTACTGAAACAAAAAGCAGTTACATAGAATGTCACTCATCGATCATCCATAGGCGGGAACTTCCCTGGTGGACTTCCTCAGATGGGAAAGTATTCCGCACTATCTTCTCTGTGTAGAAAGTCGAAATAGTCACTAAGGAAATCCCTCTCTTTATTCTCACAGATTGGCTCTGAAGGTGGATCTCTCCAATCCTCACAGTTTGAAATTGTGAGATAAAAGAAGAATGTGACACACGGATGCAAGGCTCCAGAGTACTTACCTCAATGTCTTGGCGGAGTGGATGTTTTTGAGTGCACTCATCCAAAATGACCGGAAAGTTGCTGACCATAGGATCCAGCAGCTGTCATTGATCGATAATTATTAATTATTGAATGATGAAACCCCAAAGCACTTCCACCACAACCACAATTCATACGCTTTCGGACATGTACCTGTGCACCCAAACCTTTGCAGTAGGCATGCTGGCACCCAGCTGTTACAGTGTCTACACCTACCAGTCGCCACGGGACCTACATTTCCAGGCAAGTCTCTCTAGAGTCCAGAGTCTAAACCTAATGCTCTACATGTCTTCTACTAAATGAATTTCAAGTCTGTTCTTCCAGGCTTTACCTTCCTGTCTTTCTGTCCGCAAATTTCAAGTCTTCCCCCCTTACCCCGCTAATTGCATGTAAGTCCCTCTCTGAGTCTCAAGTCTTTTCCTGGTTTTCCAGCATATGCACAAGTGCCAGAAACATGCAAAAGATACGTAGGCAGTTCTTAGCACGCACATGCAGAAAACTACCTTCTTCCCCCGAATACAATGTACGGTCATTATAGCTGTATTTGAGGCATCTTCCAGTCTAGGTACGGCGATAATTACCGGGCGTTCTATTCGGGTGAAGATGGTAGCACACAATGAAGCATGGCGAGATGCAGGGGAAACTCAGACTAAGAAACCCCAGAGGCTGTTGCAGCCTTGTATCTATTACTGTGCCCTCTCCTAGTACCCATCCACTTCCATTGAACCGAGGCACTGAAACAATAACATGACGCTAAATTATAAATTATAATTGCCTTTTTATTAGTACTGCCCAACAATGCTTGGGTTTGGGGGGGTATAACATATTGCGCTTGCTACGTTGTCCTTAGTGGTAGTGGGAGATGAAAGGCACAAAGCCGAATGCATGCAGAAATTGCAAAAAAGCAAAGATTGCTACTTTGTCCTTCTCCAGAGTGTCCTCAAATTGTACCTCATTAGCCTCTCAGTCCATTCTGGAATCAGCATTTGGAATGTTTTGGCATTGCCTTTTTGAACTATGAGAGTAATTAAAAGAATGTTCTGCTGACGAAGTAACTAGGGTCATTAAGTAGAGAATGTTGAATCATAAGGAGGCCAAGAGTTCAGAACTTTAGAATAGAATTAATCGACAGGTTGTCAAGTGCGGGGAGGAGACGAGGCAGAGAACTCACCTTGTGTTTGGAATGTCGATGGATGATGGATTCTCTGGACATAGTTGAGGATATTTTGTAGCATCCTACCCCGCAGTGGGCCATGTTTCGGTGAATGCCATGGCCGCATCCTGAATTCGTGGTGCCTCGATCCTGTCTTTGGCATCTTCTCTGACACTGACTCTTAGCCCGACGGTGTCCTGCCAAATACCTTCGAAGAAATGTGGTGGTCCCAACTTGAAGCCTGCAAGGATTGTCTTGAGAACCGTCTTATCTCAAGCTTGTCTCAGTTCAAGCACAGATGCTGAAACACGCTGCCCCTCAGCTGATCAGCATGACAAGTATGTTGTTTGGTAACCTATCATCATTCCATCCAGTCGTGGACAGCAACATCACAGAATGTCAGTGAAACACGCTGCCTGCCATGCTGCCTGGGTCCCCAGACAGCGAAGAGTACAAGGACGGCTCACATGTGTGGAAACACTGGAAAGCAAATCTTCGAATTAACTGCCAGGCCCGAAATGACATGCAGATGGGATGGGGAAACAAAAAAAAAAACATTACAACGAGTTTCACATTCTCCAGCGAGACTGGTGTGAAGGCATCGGAAAAGACTGGAAAAGAAACCGTATCTAGACTGAAAGATGGATTAAAACTTCAAAAAAAGGAAGCAGGCCAAGGAGTCCTTGGCCTCGCTTCGGAAACAAAGAGTTGTCGTCATTTCCTTCAGCGGTGGAGACCATTACAGAATCATTATGTCGGTGTGAACGCGTGCTGCCTGTACACGCAGCCTGGATCCATCAACAGCAAAGTGTGAACGGCAAAAAGAACAGCAAAGAGTGAAACACTGTGCGCATGTATGGAAACTTTGAGAAACTTAAATCAGAGAAAGTAAATTTTGCAATTTTTGCTGTCACGCCCGAAATAACATGCAGACGGAAAGGGAAATAAGGACCTGTTAACGGCAAAAAGAACAGCAAAGAGTGAAACACTGTGCGCATGTATGGAAACCTTGAGAAACTTAAATCAGAGAAAGTAAATTTTGCAATTGGCTGTCACGCCCGAAATAACATGCAGACAGAAAGGGAAATAAGGACCTGTTCGGTGTCGCCGTCGCCACTGAGTCAAATTCTTCAACCAGACTCGTGTGCAGGCATTGCGCAACGAACATAAAACAACCTCACTGGGTGGGTTTACAACTTTCACAACGTAACAGGGTTCGTAGCCCTATGAGTCGTTGGACCCGATCCAGACAAAAAAAAGCACAGAGTTATCACCAGCATGCTCTACAGTATCAGAGTCTGAACTCGTTCACATATTCGAGTTAGAATTTTACTAAGGAACTGCACGGGCACGCCAGAAGACTGTTTGGAAAACAATTGCAGAATTCTGTCATGTCCACCTCATAACATAACAGTGTCTATTATAGGAACAAGTTAGTGTCCAACCTCGAATAATCCCTCGAAGCAAAGATGCGATCTTCGGTGATGGTAGGTGGTTTTCGGAGGGGCCTGGTGCGTTCAAAATTCAAATCCTGAATGGCATAGCTGCATAGCTGCATAGCTATTGATGAAGAGATAATGCGTTGTAACTCCCCATAAACAGGTAATGAATGATTCCCGCATGTATACATATAGAGCTGTTGAAGAAGACATCCTGAGTTCAAATCCTGAACAGACAAAACGGTATGCTGTCCATCACCCCATCTCTGCCCCTTTCTATCCCTTCCCCTGTTTGCCTGTGGTCTACACGCAGCTGCCTCTACTTTTTCAGTGAAATCACTGAAATGTGATTTTTTTATTTTTTTTGGTTCCCTTTACCCCCTCCCGTGCTTACGAAGAAATCTTCCATTCAATGTGCTTCAGACTCTCCAACCATCGACCTACCTTTGGTTAGAACTAAGAACAATGATTAAAAAAAAAAAAAAAACAGACCCTTATGGATCTGGCTCCTTGTCCATTCTGGCCAGCGTCAGCCTGGTTGCTATTCAATCGGCAAGTCAAGCATCATACAATGAATACACACTCCAACGCCTCTCCACATTATGGTCGAGAGATCCGAAAGGGCAGCTCCCTTCGGGAAGGATGTACCACCCCTAACCCCTGCCTAAGTTAGCCTGTTGAGCTACTCTCTCTAATCCTGCGCTGACGTGACTGTTAATGAAGCTCATACTTTTCCAGCAAAACCCCTCCTATCATCACCTTGCCTCTTAGCAGTCTGTGCCTGAAAAACAAACCCTGTGGCAATCTTCCTTGTCTGCATTTTGTGGAATCTGTCAGAAGACTCAGAACCACAAACAGAGTGTGACTGTGGATTGAACCCGCCTTTAACTGAGTTTGCCCGAAATCTAAACCCTAGCAAGATCCTACTCTACCACTGCCTCGGGGCCTCGATTGTCCATTCGACCGATGGTTTACCACATCCTGCGGCACCACCCCCACCCTTTTTTTTTCCCTTTCCCTTGCCTCGCCATTCCTTCTGCTAGGTTTTTAAAATACCTTGGAGGCTCCGTCGGTCGGCGGTCGGCGGCCCTTGACTGGTTGGGCAGGATTCCTTTTACTGCGAATTCAGGGTTGCTCCCCCCTTGGTCGGCGGCCCTTGACTAGTCGACACCTACCGGTCGGGGGTCGTTGGCACCCTGCAATTTTTTTTTTTTTTTTTTTTTTTTTTTTTTTTTTTGGGGGGGGGTCCAGAACACCTATTAACACCACCAACACCCCCATAGCGGCCTCCAATCCCCCCATACACCCCCCCCAACCCCCCCCCCAACCCCCCCAAACCGCCCCCAACCCCCTCATTCCCCCCCACAATACCCCCTATATCACCCCTATACCCCCCCATACACCAAACCCAACCCCCCCATACCTCCCCCCATTCCCAAAAGTTTCTCGGCGGATTTGGGCTGTACTCAGCAAGCGCAGTACAGCCCCCAACTCAGATTTGCAAACAATCAGTGGAAGGCTGTTTTCTGACTGGTCGGCAGACCGCCGACCGGTCGGCCCTACTGGTGAGCTGCAATACGGTCGGCGGTCGCGGTCAGCGGTCGGCAGGGATGCAACCCTGTACGAATTGGCAAAAGGGAGGCCGGCAATCCTCACAAACAACCCGGAGAAAACTGGGGCCATTACCCAGCTTCGGCTTATGCTGGAAACGGGGTCCAGTGTCCCTTTATTTCCTTCTGTTATCATTTGTTCCAGAAAACCTCTTGAAGCTTAAAAGAATTGCAAACCCCAAGTAGCCTACCTAAATCTACTACCCCTCTTCTGTAAAGGGAGCGAGTCTACCTCCTATGGGGATCTACTCCTGCTGGTTCCTGAAAGGCTTTTCTTCCCTTAGACTGCTAGAGAGAGAGAGAGAGAGAGAGAGAGAGAGAGAGAGAGAGAGAGAGAGAGAGAGAGACTGTGGCAACACAGCATGTTGAAACAGAGATACAGTCGTCCAAAACCATGCTAGTGGTTGCCGTAATCGGTACATCATACACACATAGCATATCAAAACTTGGCCCTAAAAGAGAACTTAGAAAGCAAAACCATCTGGGTACAAATTACCCTCAATACAACCAGTCCATTTCAAACATGATTCACCAGTATGCAGCAGACTAGCCGACATAAAAAGTCGAGAACTCTAAAGATATCCTATAATCACAAAGCACACCTGAGTTATGCTGCCTAGGGAACAATATGAACTCCCGCTTCTGCCAGCACTCCATCCCAACACTCTGCCTTTGTCACCACAAGAGGCTTGTAGCTCTCAAACCAACCCCTCTGATTTCACCTCAATGTCTCCCTATTTGAACCGAGCTCCACCAAGCACTGCTTTGCTTTTCGTTTGTCTCACCGGACAGATTCACCACCGGGCTTCATGGTCTCTTGCACATATACATCAACCGGCCAAAGTCATGCTGCTGTTCTTTCCTGCATTGCCTGCAGCCCTACACTCTTCACCCCTCCCCATACCCTTTATCCCTCTCTGTTGCTCACAAATCTCTTCACCTATGCTCCCTTGTCCTCGTCACCTGTTTTCACCTCCAGCTACTCTTCTGCTCATTCCCGTGTTCCTTGGCCTGTACGCCCTGGATAGATGCAGCAGAAAAGCGCCTGTCAGAAATGTGATATTGACAAAGGGCACTCTGTCCTGCCTTATTTAGTGTGCTCCATAAATACCAAGAACATCTCCAAAAAACCCCGAGAACAGTCAAACACATCTGGTGCATGTGTACCATGAGGTTGTGGAGGTGAATGATCACGGCATCAGTTAGGCACACAAAACTGCTTGTTCGCTAGATTTCTTGTACAAGGAACCAGAAGGCAGATGCAAAACGTGTTGGAAAACACATTCAACGCTCGACCTTTTGCCAGTCTGAGCAAGGTAGTGCATGCCAGAGAAACCTCTGGAAAGTAACCCTGGAGGCAAGCTTCCTTCAGCAGATCGAAGACTCTGCTGAGAATGTGAATAGGTCTAAGTCCTGTCATAGCAGCACCGATTGCTATTCCTGTAAAACTGTTTTCTGCAATTGGTGTATCAAGTATTCTCAAATTACCATATTTTTCAAAAAGACCTTTTGTTCCTTTATAACACTCACTTTAGCAGAAGAAGTCCATATTGTCTTGGGCATGCATCTCAAAGTGTTCTTCACCCTGTTCTTCTCATCGGAGACAATTCCTAGAGGGACGAGTATCGAAGTCCTCCTGAAGTTAATCGATGATCTTTGTTCTCAGCAGCGGAGTCGTTGATGAAGCTCAATGCGTTCAGCTTGACCCATAAAATCCCAAACTTAAGTTTGTTGCCTGCATCTTTCCTCTACTTCAGGGGCTTATTATAACATCACTAAAGGGTGGCAAATTTGTTCCTGTCTTTATAAGCGATGCAGGTGAGGCATTCAAAACATGCACTAACACCGTTGACGACTTTCAGACCATGAACTAGCCCCTGATCAATGCCCAAAGACAAAAGAAAACAATATCTGCAACCACTCAGTAGATGCATGCGATTATTAGACTGATCGAGCTTCCCACGGGGATGCCGAACGCCTGCCCTTATAGTGTAGTGCCTATCACAATGTACAAAGTCGCGTGCTCGTATTTGACCATGATTAGTATGAAATTCTAACATAGTTGTGCTCCTCCTGTTCTTGGTTACAATTCCGTTTTTTTTCATTTTGTTTTTTTTCATGCCTACGCCGGACCCGCATTCGGGCAGGCCATGTCCGAGGAATGGGCGCATGTCCGGTCAGGTCCCGACGGTCCGGACGGTCCGGACCGGTAAACAGGTCCGGAAATGTCCGGACCATTAAAAAAATAAAAATAAAAAAATCTGGAACAAACAATGTTATGCAGAATAACAATGCAAACCACTTTTGACTCAGAGTCATGTCAGAATTCCTAATGCAAGGAATACGAGCAAGAGCGATAGACAGAAATCCAAGTTGCAAAATCACACAGAAGTCCAGATAGTCATGTACCAAGCAGAGAGGTCAAATGCACCAAGATTCCATCCAAATAAGAGCAAAGCAGTGAACTCGTGTGCGAATGTTATCGCCCTCAGGCCTCACCAGCACAGTATCCAATGTCACTCATCTCTGTCTGGCGCCCAGCGCCCAGCCTACTCTACTGAGCATATCTAGCCTATCTACATTCTTGCAACAAGATCATTCCGACATTGAAGACCAATGTACATGACGTCAACACCAATGCCGACCTCCCACATACACCAGGTACGTTCTCTCTCCTCCTCTCATCAGACCTTGACCACCCACTCATGCGCCTCCTACCCGAAGACCACCTTCGCCTATCACCCGCATGCGCCCCTGCAGCCCGGCTATGGCCGCCACGCGCCCGCTGTCTTGCAGCGTCCCTCTCACCTCATAGCGCCCACGTGCACCCCAGCCAGCAGCGCACATGCAGACACTTGAGCAGCAGCGCAGCAGCATGTCTGCATTGCCTGCCTAGGCCAGGATCAGTGATCGAGCAATTACAACCAGGAGGTGGGCTTGGAAGCAGCCATCCTTTGAAGAAAGCGTAATAGCTCACTGGTCTAGCTTCATCGCGGCGAAAATGGATCGGGGCTCAAGTGGTTCACCAAAGCGCCGAGACCAAACAAAATCAATGTTGCAAACGCCTCTCCAGGCACGCAACAAGACATGCTGGAGACGAAGTGCTATTGTTTGCCATTGATCTTCAGGGTCAGTAGCGGAACGTTCTGTAAGTTGAAGAAGGCTGTTTGTGAAAACAGCTGGAGATATCAGAAGTGAGAATGTTGACATGAGTAACAAAAAATCACGTGAAAAACATGATCGCCGAAAGTTCAAGGGTCTCTGCGTTCAGTCAATCTATGCAGAGTGAATCGGTGCCTAAGGAAACCCCGAAAGGCGGCGCCGATGGGTACTAGAAAGTGACGAAATTTGAATTCTGGCCAGCGACCTTCCTATATGGAAGTCGCGGCCCCTGTTTGGTTGTGAGGGCCTGGCTGAGGAAGCTCCCAGTAGTTTCCAGTCGGGCGCGAGTGCCTGCGTCTAGGCCTGTCCGGCAGTTGGGGGCCTGGACCCTTTCTGGTTGGGCACGTCCAGGCAGCCTCCAGGCTCCAAGTGTTTGTCGTCTTCTCATTGGCTCGCTAGGCCTCTGAGACGACATGCTGCGTTCTGCTTCGCCTGCGGCAACTTCGTGATGTGTCGGGCTCACACTGTGTGTGCCCAGGGCGCAACCACCCAGCCCTGGGCTCAACTGCTTGACGCAGTTGCTGTTTCTAGAAGGAGGCAAGGGAGAGGCTCACATTGCACTTCAACCAACTGGCGTGTTGCAACTGTCTGATACCCACATTGGAAAATGTTAAAATAAGGACGTCTTATGGATATTCAAGCCCGCCTTCACTTAGGGCGGGCACGAGGCTTGTTGGGGGCCACAACCCAGATCATGTGCATGTTGGCTAGGGCCTCATGAAGGCACATTCCTCACATTCCATCCCCCTTAGCTTCGAAAGTCCGTTGAGATGCTTTTCCAAGCAGGAACCTTCCCCTTTAACCTTCTTTCATAATCTGTCACGATTCGAGGTGATGTTTGAACCACTTCCTCTCTTGTGAACCATTGGTCTGCTTTTGGATCCGTGGGATGCCTGAATCTGACACGGTACTCACTCTTGGGTTTCGGTGGTCTTCCTCTACCCACAGGCTTGGGAACAGGCATATCTTTGCGCTAAAAAATGCCGCTGACGTCCACGTGGCCATCGATGGTTGGGGGCAGCATTGATCTCCTTGATGGGAACTGTCGTGTCTCAGCAAAAGGTGCAAGTTTTGAGGCGTGAAACACAGGGTAAGTGCGCAAGTGACCAGGGATTCAAATAACGTGCGAGGGACCGTCAAACTCACCACCCACGGTATCTAAGACTTCCCAAGATCCAAAGTACCGAGGCATAAGTTTTCTAGAGATGTCGAACTCTTGTCCTAGCTCACTAGCCTTGACCCAGACACGTTCCCCTGCCTGAAATGTGGACTGTTGTCGATGTTTGTTCTCAGAAGCAATCAATGCGTTTTGAGATTTTTTAATGTGCTCAACAGCCTGCTGCAACAACTTCTCATATTGGACACCAAATTCTATGGTTCCAGGAGTTGCAACAGATCGGTTTTCAGGCAGAAGGAAGTCTAGAGCAGATCTAGGCATCCACCCCAAATGCAGCTGATTCAGACTGACGTTGGTGGTGTTGTGTACATCGTTGTTGTACAGACTGGCAATGAGCGGCAACTTCTCATCCCAGTCATCCTGTCAGGGCTCAATGTAATGCCTCCGCTGACACGGTTCATCGGTTCAGCTTGACCGTTGGCTTCGGGATGACTCCCCGAAGTCATTTGGAGTTGGCTGTCCATCTATTCAGCAGCCTTCTTCAACTTTTCGCTGGTGAAACAGACATCTTTATCACTAACGATGGACTTGGGCAGTCGGAAATCACGCGCCCAATTATCCATAAATAACTTGATGACATGATCCGTCCTTGCTGTTTCTGGCATGGCAATTGGTCTAGCATTCTTAGTAAACCTGTCAACTATGATGAAGATGTGCCTCTTGCCACTCTTGCTGGTTACGAGTGTGTCCATGAAGTCCATGGATACGCTTTGTTCGGGACCGGCAGGAACGGGCAAGGGCTTGAGTAACCCAAGCGGAGCTAGAGTTCACGGCTTGTCCCACTGACAGACTTGACAAGTTTGTACTTACTTCTTTGCTTCGTCGACCAAAAACGTTGTATTTTGAAGTGTCCGGTAGCGACGTGGCACTCGCCTAAAAATAAACTATGCAAAATTTCACGAGATGGAACAACTAATCTCTTAAATCCTGCCTTTTCAAGAAAGAGTAACCCATCCACCGTGACAACCTCATCCGATGTGGACTTATCTCTAGCCTCAAGTTTGCGCATCATGCCCATTGTGACGGGGTCTTCCTTGTAGGCTTCCACCAACGATAGAGTTACATCATATGATAGGCCAAACTAAGTAATCAGCGCACCCAAGTAGTCTTCTCTACGTGACAGCGCATCAGCAACCTTGTTGTACTCTCCCTTCACATAATCTAGCTTGAAGTCATATTGGGCTATGACTTCAATCCAGTGTTCGAGTGCGTCAGAGAGGATAGGTTGTCTTGGTCCACTTGAGTGTTTGATGGTCAATTCTTAGGTAGAAAAACCTTCCGAACATTTATTGTCTCTAGTGGACAAGTGCTTTGTAAAGGGCATAGAGTTCCCTTTCGT